CCAGGCGGGTCTTTAACCCGCGGGCTCAGGCAATCCACTCACCTCAGCCTCCCAAAGGCATGGGATTACAGGCTGAGCCACCAAGCCCGGCTTGCCTGTGCATCTTAAAGAAGCACTTGGTGGGGCCTTTTGCTTACATACAGTGACACAGCCACTGGGACAGTCACCTCTCAGTGAGCCAGCAGTAGCTCAGCCAGTCTGTAGATGGGCGGTCATTTAAGAAGTGTAGTCAGCTCAACTCTAGGAATGTGTTTTCTTGCTAGAAGGATTTCACAACGTGGAGCCCCAGAAACAGCATTGGTTGCCCCCGGGAGGTGGTTTCTTCTACCAGAGACACAGCAGGGCAGGCCTGGTGGGCCATGGGAGTGCCTCGCTTTGGCCTCAGCACTGCTGAGCTGGGACAGTGACAGGAGATGGGAAGCCGCCTGCAGCTGGCCCCTTGCCTCTGCCCGCCACAGCCTTTCAGAGCCAGAGGGTGGTAACGGACAGCCTGTACAAGAGGTCTCTTTTTGTCTGTTTTCCAAGCCACTTTTAAGATTCATGATGTCTGCATCCTCATACTTCCTTGGTATCTGGCATTATGAGAAGTGTGTTACTAGGGTTTGAGTTTAGCTGTATTTTTTTTGAGACAGGTTCTCACTGTGTCACCCTGGCTGAGCTCAATATAGCCTTGAACTGTTGGACTCAAGCCATCTATCCTCCTTCCTCAGCTTCCTGAGGCATTGGGACTATAGGTGTGCACCACCGTGCCTGGCTGAGTGTTTTATTTTTTGTAGAGATGGGGTCTCATGACTTCTGACCTCAACATCATCTCCTGCCTTGGCATCTCAAAGCACTGGGATTACAGGGGTGAGCTACCACGTCCTACCTGGCATTGAGTATAGTTGTATTTGAACTTACATCAGGATTTTTTTTTACAGTACTGTGTTTTGGCAGACTTTGTTTTAACCATGATTTTGCTCCACCTGGGAGTCCCTTGACCCTCATGCCTTGTTCAGGTTGGTGGAGCATCATTACAGGTCTTACAGGAGGGGATATGAGGCTTTACTGAGGAGTTTTGACTCCTCCCAGGCAGCCTGTCAAGCCCAGAAATTGTGCTTTTGAACTTGTGTGGAGGCAGCAACAGCTAGCTTTGGTTTGAATTTCAGTGTCTGGCATCCCAACCTCAAAGCTGGTTGAAGCTCATGGAACATTTGCCTCTGCCACCTGCACTGTCTGTCGAAGATCCTGCTCAGGGGAGGACTTTTGGGTGAGTTATCCCACTGATGTTCTCTTTTCTGCAGTTTGCAGTGGGGGTGATCTGGAAAAGTGGTGTTTTATAAGCATGTGTCACAAGGACAATAAAACGGTAGTAGTGTGAAGATTTGTGTGAAAAAATGTTCAGTTCATTGGCATTTAGTATATTCATAGTATTATAAGCCCACTGTCTCTATTGGGTTTTAAAACATTTTGATTACCTCAAAGGAAAATCCTGTACTCACTAAGTGGTTACTCCCCATTTCTTTTACCTCCAGCCCTGCTTTCTGTCTCTATAGATTTGTATGTTCTAGATGTTTCATATAAATGTAATCAGATGACCTTTTGTGTCTAGCTTCTTGCAGTTAGCATAATGTCTTTTAAAAAAAAAAATGTGTATTTTGATAGAATTAGGTCACTTAGCATACCATTTTCATGGTTCACTCACATTGTATTTGCATCAGTACTTCATTCCTTTTTATAGGTAAATAATATTCCACTGATGTGTGCACCACAATTTGTGATCCATTTGTATGTTGATGGTGTTTGGGTTGTTACCACCTTTTTGCTCTTGTGAATAGTTCTCCTGTGAATGCATGTACAAGTATTTGTTTTAGTCCCTGTTTTTATTTTTGGGGGGTATTTATCTAGGAGTAGAATTGCTGATAACTCTTTTTGAGGAACTCACATACTGTTTTATAAGACACTGTACCATTTTACATTTCCATCAACAGTGCACAGGGCTCCAATTTTTCCACGTTTTCACTAACACTGTTTTCCATTTTTTTTTTTTTTTTTGAGTTGTAGTCTCACTCTGTTGCCCAGACTGGAGTGCAGTGGCTGCTCCCAGCCACCGCAGCCTCAACCTGCTGGACTCCAGTGATCCTTCCGCCTCAGCCTTCCGAGTAGCCGGAATTACAGGCATGCGCTACCACGCCCAGCTAATTTTTTGATTTATTATAGAGATGAGGTCTTGCCTGCCCAGGCAGGTCTCGAACCCGCGGGCTCAGACAATCCACTCACCTCAGCCTCCCAAAGTGCTGGGATTACAGGCTGAACCACCGAGCCGGCTTGAAGTTCTTTGCTCATTGATTAACTGTGTTGTTTGTCTTGCTATTGTTGAGCTTCAAGTGTTGGTATATACTCTAGAAGCTAGATCCTATCAGATCTATGACTTGCAAATATTGTCTCCCATTCTGTAGGTTGTCTTTTCCACTCTCTTGAGAATGACTTTTGATGCACAAAAGCTTTTAGCTTTAATGAAGCCCAGTTGATCTAAGTATCTAATTTTTTTGCTCATCCTGTTTTTTGAGCTGGTGTCTTACTCTGCCACCCAGGCTGGAGTGTAGTGGCATGCTCACGGCCCCCACAGCCTTGACTTGGTGGGACCAGGCGATCCTTCGGGCTCAGGCCATCCTTCCACCTCAGCCCTCCAGGGAGCTGGAACTATAGGTGCGCGCCATCATGCCTGATTTTTTTTTTTTTTGGTTTACTGCAGCACTTTATTTTTCCTTACATAATGACGTGTTGCAGGGGCCTGATGTTCTCATATAGCAGTAGAAAGCTAAAGTCTAGTGTCATCTCTTAAAGAATTAAGAATTGTGTGCAAAAACCTTATGTAAATTGAAAGAATGAATAAACGGCTATGACTTTTCCAACCCTGTTAGACCTGCTGGCAAGACAGAAATGACAACTTCTGTCAGCTCTTGCCAGTCTCTAGAGAAATCCTGAAATACTCAGCTTGGGCACATTAATACCTTGCACAGATCAAGACCCTTGGTCATGCAGATTCACCAAACCATGGGCGTCTTTTCCATAAGCACATTATCACCTCAGCCACAAAGTGACTAAGGGTTTAAACCAAAGATATGTCCAGGGTATTAAACAAATACAAAGGGAACAGTTCACTTGAACACAAGGTCAAAAATCAGCAGCGATTTCTACGATCCAGTACTGATATCACAGAGCTTTGAGAACAAATTTCTTTTCAAAGGCTTAATACAGTTTTGTGAGGCGTGTGCGTTTGCAAGGGCAGACTCGTATTTACCAGTTTGCTCACACAGCAAATGCCCGGCATCTGCTCGCAGCCCAGGTGGAAGCATTTGCGGCAGATGATGGGGGGGCCCTGGCTCATCGCACTCCTGCTTGCTGGTCCACATCCACTGGAATGTGGCAGGGTGGCCAGGATGGCGTTGCTGATCCACACTCAGCACTTGGCTCAGGGCAGCAGCGACCTTGGTCTTTGTGGTGCTGGGTGCCAGGGCAGTGGTCTCCGTCTGCATCCTGTCAGCAGTGCCTGGGTACATGGTGGTGCCACTAGACAGCACTGTTTTAGCGTGTGGGTCCTTGTGGATGTCTGTGTCACACTTCATGATGGAGTTGAGGTGGTCTCTTGGGTTTCGTAGGATTCCTTGCGTAGGAAGGAGGGCTGGAACAGTGCTTCTTGGCACCGGAACTGCTCGCTGCCAATGGTGATCACCTGGCCATCAGATCAGGCGGCGTGTCATTCTTCTCCAGGAAGGAGGAGGAGGACACGGCAGTGGCCATCTCCTGCTCAAAGTCCAGGGCAACGCAGTGCAGCCTGTCTTTGGTATTGGGCATGATCTCTCAGCTGTGGTGGTGAAGCTGTGGTGTGCTCCCTGAGGGTCTTATTGAGGTCATCGGTCAGGTTCCGGCCAGCCAGGTCCAGACGCAGGATGGCATAGGGGAGGGCGTAGCCCTTGTCGGTGGGCACTGTGTGGGCGACCCGTCTCCAGAGTCCGTGACAGTACCAGTGGCACAACCACACACATGCAGGGAGAGCACGCCTAGATGGCCATATGCATGACTGGGGTGTTGACAGTCTCAAACATGATTTAGGTCATCTTCGCTCTGATGGCCTTAGGGTTCAGGGGGGCCTCAGTCAGGAACACCAGGTGCTTCTCAGGGGCCACATGTGGTTCGTTGTAGGATGTGTGGTGCCAGATCTTCTCCATGCTGTCCCAGTCGGTGACGATGCCATGCTTGTTGGGCTACTTCTGGGTCAGGGTGCCTCGCTTGCTTTGGGCCTCACTGCCCACGCGGGAGTCCTTCTGACCCACACCCACCATAGCGCCCTGATGCTGGGCAGCCAGATGATGGAGGGGTTCGCGGCTCAGGGGTGTCATCTCTGAAAAGCCACCTTTGCACATGGCAGAACCGTTGTCAACGATGAACTTGTCTCAACAACACGTCAAAAACTTAGCCGGGTGTGGTGGCACATGCCTGTAGTTCTGGCTCCTTGGGAGGTTGAGGCTGAAGGATCGCCTGAGCCCAGCAGCTCGAGGCTGTGGTGGCTGTGAGTGTGCCCCTGTGCTCTGTCCTGGGTGACAGAGTGAGACTCCAACTCCAAAAAAAAAAAAAAAAAGAAAATCAGTTGTCTGTAGGTATATGGGTTATTTCTGTATTCTCACTTCTATTCCATTCTGTATATATATATATATATATATATATATATATATATATATATATATATATATCTTTATGCCAACACTATACTGTTTTGGTTAAAGTAGCTTTGAAATCAGGAAGTGTGAGTCCAGCACATAATGGACTGATCCAGAACTCCAGAAATGCATGCTATCCATTCGTTGAATGACCAATTTCTTCAATAAATAGCTTAGTCTGATCCGGTACAGTGGCTCACACCTGTAACCCCAGCACTTTGGGAGGCTGAGGTGGGAGGATTGCTTAAGCCCAGGAGTTTGAGACCAACCTGGGCAACATAGTAAGACCTCGTCTCTACAAAATCCAAAAATTAGCCGGGTGTGGTGGTATGTGCCTGCAGTCCCAGGTACTTGGGAGGTTGAGACGGAAGGACCACCTGAGCCCAGGAGGTCGAGGCTGCAGTGAATTGTGATGGTGCCACTGCACTCCACCCTGGTGACAGAGTGAGACCCTGCCTCAAAAAAATAAAGAAAGTTTAGTCTGCTGAGTGCCAGGTCCTTTGCTGGGGCTGTGGATGCAAAATCAAATTAAAATAAGGTGCAGTCAAAACAGTTACAATTGAGTGCCATAGGTTTTACTGAAAATATGTACTGGGTGCTAGGCTCTAACTCTTCTGTGGGAAGAGGTCAGCTGGAAAGTTCCTCAGAGATGAGGCAGTCTGGACGCGATAGTCTGTTCCCCGCAATGGAAACCCGGAGTGTGGGGGGCCTGCAGGCTCTTAGGGCTTAAACTGTATCCTGAAGATCATGGGAGACATTGAAGGATTTTTTTAGGCAGGAAAACGATGTGAAGGGACTTGCATTTTAGAGCAGTTATTTGGGCAGCAAGTTGACTTTTTTGAAGGATCTGGCGCCTGCTGTGGGGAGGGGTATAATCCGGGTAGGAAATCACCAGGCTGGCCGGGCACAGTGGCGCAAGCCTAATCCCAGCACTTGGGAGGCCGAGGTGAGAGGATTGCTTGAGCCCATGGGTTCGAGACCAGCCCGGGCAACTTGGCGAGACCTCTTTTCTACAATGAATAAATAAAAGAAAATTAGTTGGGCGTGGTGGCGTATGCCTGTAGTTGCAGCTACTTGAAAGACTGAGGTGGAAGGATTGCTGCAGCCCAGCAGGTCGAGGCGACGGTGGCCGGCAGCATGCCACTGCCCTCCAGCCTGGGCAACAGAGTGATACTTCAAATAATAAAAAAAAACAACCATGAGTCCCTGGGCTGAGCAGCTGCCATGGACACAGAACGGGATGGCTCGAAGTGGCCTGCTAGAGGGCAGGCTGACTGGAAGGGGGCGGAGAGAGGGGTTTCCCGGGCAAGTGTCTGGGTGTGCCTGACCAGGAAAGAGGTGTGGGTGGAAAGGGTGACTCTGAGACTCCTCATAGATCAGGGGATAGAAGCTATAAATATGAATGAAGTTTTTCTTTCTTTCAAAGTCAAACAAATTGGGAGACCTTTCTTTAATACAAGTTGAGAAGAGGTCCTGGTCCACTTTTGGAAACAGTTGTAGTGTTCTACGTATTCCAGCCCCCTTATCCTGCACACGCGTTTCCAGACCCCAGCATTTATTTACAAGTTCGAAGGAAGGTTTGAAAGGGTCCCCAGCGAAGGCCCCAGGGAGGCTGAAGGTGGGCTGGGCTGGGCAGGAGAGAAGGTGCTCCCTGCTGAGGGTGCAGCCTGGCCCTGGGGTTGGTCTCCGGCTGAGCCATCGCTGAGGGTCGCTGCCCCTGTGGCCTGCTCATCCTTCCTGGGGTCTTCCT